ACAATCTAGAGTAGAATGTGCCCCACAAGTTCAGTATGAGGTTCATGGGAGAGATGTTGCTGTGGCATATAACAGGTTACATGATGGATTCTGGGTCAGGAGGTCGCCTTAGAGATGTAGCTGGGTAATGGTGTTGTGTTCTTGTGCAAGACGCTTTACTTGCTCTTACAGTGCTTATTTGCACTCAGGAGTGTAAGGGAATGCATGTTCTAATGATTTAGAGTGCAGGGAGCCCAGACAAGCGATGAGTCTGGTTGTTTATTCGAAATATAAAGGAATGTATGGGAGAATATTGAAGAGTCTTATTGTTGTAAACTTGTATCATGAAATGTCTGAGTTAAAGCTCAAAATAAATGTGAACCTCCCTCACTTGCTGTGTATTGTCGTTTCTGTGGCTCTAAACGGCGAATTTGAGCGATTTGGTGGGTTTTGCGTTGACTGTTGCTGTACGTTATGAGAAGGCGACATAGAGTAACAGTTGACACAAAACCCACCAAATCGCTCAAATTTGCCATTTAGAGCCACAGAAACGACAATACACAGCAAGTAAGGTAGGTTTACATTTATTTTGAGCTTTAACTCAGACATTTCATGATATAAGTTTACGAGAATAAGACTCTTCAATATTCTCCCATACATTCCTTTATATTTGGAATAAACAACCAGACTCATCGCTTGCCTGGGCTCCCTGTGTTTAAAGAAGGTCTAAATTTCAAGATGTTTTTACCTTTTCCCTCAGCCAACTCCTGAAATGTACCAAAAAGCCTACAACTCGTACAATCTTAAACTAAAGGCATCATGTTTCAGGTAAGAAATGAGCTGTTAATGGTAAGTTTGTTCCTCTTTTTGGATCTGCTATCTTTAGAAGTCATTGTTTTTCAGTGTAGGTCTTTTTGTTTTAATTTATTTGCTTAACCTTTTGACTTCTGTGAGCGACTGCCATCTAATTTCTTCTTATGACATCACAAATGAATCACACATTTAGATTAGGAGAATTAAGGAAATGGTCACCAAATAACAAAGCTCTGATTGTTAAACGAATGAATTCTCTTTGTTAGCACCTTAGAAGATTTATAGTGAACAGTTTGGAAAATATGCATACTAATGTCACAGTGTAAAGCCCAAAAAATGATTATCGTTCATTTTGTCATAGTGCCTGGATGCGTTATCACAAGTACATGAGAAGAAAGAAGGCTATATTAGCCAAGAAACAAGAAAATGCTCGGATTTGGCATCAGCATAGAGTACAGAGGATACATCTTGGATATTGGATTGTATCTTTTTTAAAAATCAGTTAAAGTGCACCTAAACCCCTAAAATATTTTTCGCTTAACGAAATAAGCATATTTTTTTGGAGTATTTCTGTGCAAAAATTGTTTTATTTGTTCAAATCTTCAATTTCCTGTGCCCAGTCAAAATACGGAAAATTGCCCGCCATCTTGCCCCACAACCAAGTTTAAAGAGGAATGGCTCTAGCGGGTAATGTGACGTCAAATCAAGAACACGAAAGTCTGCATTTCACACATTTTCACTTGTTTGGGAAGGTTGTTGTCGATATTGTCTGAAAATATGCCGACTAAGTGTGTTGTAGAAGGATGTGGCAACGTGTGAAATTTGCAAGAGGGTATTGCCCTTCATACGTTCCTCATACAACACACTTAGTCGGCATATTTTCAGACAATATCGACGACAACCTCCCCAAACAAGTGAAAATGTGTGAAATGCAGACTTTTGTGTTCTCAATTTGATGTCACATTACCCGCTACAGCCATTCCTCTTTAAACTCGGTCATGGGGCAAGATGGCAGCCGATTTTCTGTATTTTGACTGGGCACAGAAAATTAAAGATTTGAGCTAATTAAAAAATTTTTGCACAGAATACTGCAAAAAATATGCTTATTTCGTTAAGCGAAAAAAATTTTTGGGTTTTAGGTGCACTTTAAGAGGATGTGTATATTTTTCACCTATTGCAGAAGATTAATTATTCAGTATTTACAATGCAATCTTAAGAACAGTTAAGGCAATCAATCCCTAGTGTTCAAAAGTACTCTTCTACTGTAAATGATTTAAGTATCACCAAAGAATTGTTTTGCCAAGAAATATTGTTTTGAGGGAATTTCAGCCACTTTCAGGAGTAGTTTGCTTTAGAGTTTTTGCAAAACCCTCTTGCAGTCTTAATTTCTGTGTGCCGGATGCCTCATAAAATTTGGCATGTAGTATTTCCTGTCATAATAATAATAATACTAATAATAATAATAATAATAACGATAGTAATAATAATCCTGTTAAAGGTAAAAAAAAATGCAGACTCTTGGCTTTTTTTAGTATTTTTGTTAACATTTTTTGTCTGTGTGGTATCAAATAGTGTAGTTACCGTACTACTTTTAATTTGTCCTTCACTTGATTGACCCACTGCCACAGGAATGGGCTTCTGAGAGAAAGGAAAGGCAGCATGGTTGGTAAATTTTTCTTTTGCTTCCAGTTCCTCCGTCTATATTGAAATTATTTTCATAGTTATCAATCTTCAGTTATCCATATCAATTTAAAATGAATAAAATCTCATATCAAGCTTTAAAGTACATCTGTAAACATGGGCGGATCCAGGAATTTTTGATTGGNTCTTTAGAAGTCATTGTTTTTCAGTGTAGGTCTTTTTGTTTTAATTTATTTGCTTAACCTTTTGACTTCTGTGAGCGACTGCCATCTAATTTCTTCTTATGACATCACAAATGAATCACACATTTAGATTAGGAGAATTAAGGAAATGGTCACCAAATAACAAAGCTCTGATTGTTAAACGAATGAATTCTCTTTGTTAGCACCTTAGAAGATTTATAGTGAACAGTTTGGAAAATATGCATACTAATGTCACAGTGTAAAGCCCAAAAAATGATTATCGTTCATTTTGTCATAGTGCCTGGATGCGTTATCACAAGTACATGAGAAGAAAGAAGGCTATATTAGCCAAGAAACAAGAAAATGCTCGGATTTGGCATCAGCATAGAGTACAGAGGATACATCTTGGATATTGGATTGTATCTTTTTTAAAAATCAGTTAAAGTGCACCTAAACCCCCCAAATGTTTTTCGCTTAACGAAATAAGCATATTTTTTTGGAGTATTTCTGTGCAAAAATTGTTTTATTTGTTCAAATCTTCAATTTCCTGTGCCCAGTCAAAATACGGAAAATTGCCCGCCATCTTGCCCCACAACCAAGTTTAAAGAGGAATGGCTCTAGCGGGTAATGTGACGTCAAATCAAGAACACGAAAGTCTGCATTTCACACATTTTCACTTGTTTGGGAAGGTTGTTGTCGATATTGTCTGAAAATATGCCGACTAAGTGTGTTGTAGAAGGATGTGGCAACGTGTGAAATTTGCAAGAGGGTATTGCCCTTCATACGTTCCTCATACAACATACTTAGTCGGCATATTTTCAGACAATATCGATGACAACCTTCCCAAACAAGTGAAAATGTGTGAAATGCAGACTTTTGTGTTCTCAATTTGATGTCACATTACCCGCTACAGCCATTCCTCTTTAAACTCTGTCATGGGGCAAGATGGCAGCCGATTTTCTGTATTTTGACTGGGCACAGAAAATTAAAGATTTGAGCTAATTAAAAAATTTTTGCACAGAATACTGCAAAAAATATGCTTATTTCGTTAAGCGAAAAAAATTTTTGGGTTTTAGGTGCACTTTAAGAGGATGTGTATATTTTTCACCTATTGCAGAAGATTAATTATTCAGTATTTACAATGCAATCTTAAGAACAGTTAAGGCAATCAATCCCTAGTGTTCAAAAGTACTCTTCTACTGTAAATGATTTAAGTATCACCAAAGAATTGTTTTGCCAAGAAATATTGTTTTGAGGGAATTTCAGCCACTTTCAGGAGTAGTTTGCTTTAGAGTTTTTGCAAAACCCTCTTGCAGTCTTAATTTCTGTGTGCCGGATGCCTCATAAAATTTGGCATGTAGTATTTCCTGTCATAATAATAATAATACTAATAATAATAATAATAATAACGATAGTAATAATAATCCTGTTAAAGGTAAAAAAAAATGCAGACTCTTGGCTTTTTTTAGTATTTTTGTTAACATTTTTTGTCTGTGTGGTATCAAATAGTGTAGTTACCGTACTACTTTTAATTTGTCCTTCACTTGATTGACCCACTGCCACAGGAATGGGCTTCTGAGAGAAAGGAAAGGCAGCATGGTTGGTAAATTTTTCTTTTGCTTCCAGTTCCTCCGTCTATATTGAAATTATTTTCATAGTTATCAATCTTCAGTTATCCATATCAATTTAAAATGAATAAAATCTCATATCAAGCTTTAAAGTACATCTGTAAACATGGGCGGATCCAGGAATTTTTGATTGGGAGGGTCCAAACTTTGGTTCAGAAAGGACTGTTGGACTCTTTTGAGGCAGATTACTTCTCTCCCACATCTACCACACCCCCTCTCACTAGTCACGGTTGCACGTTATAATTCCTTGGCCGCCTACCGTTTACTTGGATTCATTAAAAAAAAACCGCCACTTAAAAATTAGTCTACGATCCTGTCGATGTATGAATTTCAGTCTCAAAGTTGTAAGCGTCAGGTCTGATAAGGGGGGGGGGTCTGGACTCCCCGGACCCTCCCCCTGGAGCCGCCACTGTGTAAATCTGTTTCACAAATAGTCACAGATAAGTGATGATGAACTGATTGTAACGTACGCACAGGTAACATTACTCAGTGACCTCAGTGGCTATCCGAACCACATACATCTATTTATTTCCTGACCAGTGGTTTCTATAACAAAATTGAATTACACAAAATCTAACTACCAAAAATAGGTGACATAAACGAAATAATAAAGGAAATAAAGCCGGCGAAATGAAAACTAAAAACATACCTGACGGTTTGGATATTGAAAGAACGCAAGACGCAGCTTAAAGACATACTACAACAGTAAACTACGTAACGTAACGAAACTTTTCGCGCGAACATTGAAATATACGTGTTGACGCGAGGGGACTGAACCCCACTGCTTCCCCAGATTTGTTGTAAAACTGATGCGCTGCACTAGTATCGCAGAGGTCAGTGGTTCGAGTCCCGTACAGGCCTGATTTTTTTCAGGTCTGATTTTCGCTATAGCATAAATAGCGCTATCTACTGCGAGGATCGTGCATCATACGTAAAACTGATGTTCTTACCAAATTCTGACATCTTTATGATCTATTTCGGGTCAAACCCACAGCAACATGAAATTTATTTCAGTTTGTTTTTTATGTTAAAAATAGCAAAATATTAGTAATGGTGCTTATTGCATAAATTGTCTTTTTCTTAATGGCCACATCTCTGTCTAAGGAATGAAGTTGCCGTATTGATTGAAACTTTGCAATCTTAACTTTTGTGCATTAATTTGTTAAACATTCTGTGGGAGAAAAATCAAGCTTAACGATGCATTTGCTTTAATTTCAGTTATCTCCTCAAGGATCCGCAGAGTCCTAGCAATGTCGTTGTTACGTGTGGTGTTTGATGCGTGGCATAGTGTTGCTGTGGATGCAATGAAGACAAAGGAGTATTTTGAGGTCTGTGGAACAAATATAACCGTGGTAGTCCTCTAGCGAGCATGCATTTGAACGGAATTCTAGAAAAATTTACATTTGTAACGGATGTGAACTCAAAAAACATGAATACAAAATTGAAGAATGCAACTGGGAGGAGGCAGCGGTTGGCTATTTACAAAGGACAGCCAAAGAGTTGAACTCGGTACAGACAAGGACGAATCCAGTGAAAAGCAGGTCGCAGGGGTTGGACCTGGGAAAAACCAGATTACAAGTTCAGCGCCCAAAAAACTCGGCCACACTGTAGCCAGCAGTGCAGGCATCTTGTTCGAGCGAGTTAACGTTAAGAAGCGCGCGATCGTTTATTCAGCCATGTTTAATTTGTAGTTTGAGTCAAGGGTAGGGGAAGGAGGTAGGGGCGGGAAGGGGCGAAATATTCACACCCCCACCCTCTCCCTCTCCTTATTTTTTCACTGTCGCTCACCCCCCTGGTACAGATTTCTTTTTCTCCCCAGCCTTCCACTTCCAATAAAATCAAAGATAACGGCTCGCTTTTTCGAGTACCTGCTCGCCAAAATTAGGTCTGCTCTGCAGGCTAACCATACTGCCTCTTCATGGGATAGGATAGGATAGGATAAGACAAGAGACAACTCCAGGATGGAAAAAAAACTTCCTGTTAGCCTGTGGCAACTAAGTTTTATAGCTCTAAGGATTGTGTGTGCTTGCTCTTAGGCTAATTTACTGCTTTGCATACTTTTCCTTTAAATGTTCAGCGAATTGAAAGAGGAGAGATCATCGACTCAGCGTACGAGGGGTTCTTCCGTGTTAGAACAGNGGTACAAATTTCTTTCTCTCCCCAGCCTTCCACTTCCATTAAAATCAAAGATGACGGCCATAATTTTCGAGTACCTGCTCGCCAAAATTAGGTCTGCTCTGCAGGCTAACCATACTGCCTCTTCATGGGATAGGATAGGATAGGATAGGATAGGATAGGATAAGACAAGAGACAACTCCAGGATGGAAAAAAAACTTCCTGTTAGCCTGTGGCAACTAAGTTTTATAGCTCTAAGGATTGTGTGTGCTTGCTCTTAGGCTAATTTACTGCTTTGCATACTTTTCCTTTAAATGTTCAGCGAATTGAAAGAGGAGAGATCATCGACTCAGCGTACGAGGGGTTCTTCCGTGTTAGAACAGATGGCAAAGATGAAATTTCATCACTACCAAAACATGTTGCGTTAAGGGTAAGCATCAGCTTTGAATGTGGATGCAGTTTTTTTTTTTTTTATCCATTTTATTATTACTTGGGCTTCCTGTAGAAAAGCCCAAGTCCTAAAATGCCCAGCCTTTGTCGTCCATCTTGAAAGGCACTACTGGCGTTTCTGCGCAGTGTAAACACTGTCACGCGGCGTAAAGTGACAAAGGAAGCACACTTTTATGCCTTTCCCGGCCTTGATGGTCGAATCCACTTTGGAAAGCCTTTTGAAGAGAAGCTCGACTTGTTTATTTCTAAAAAGTGACTTCGACGGAACTCCACAAAACCTCGAGCCGTTTCGGTATTCCGTCGGTCTTCGCGCTTCGGAAGGACCTCGGAAGTTACACATATGTACGGACTGAACGAATGATAACTCACGAATGTTAGTTACCACAAAGCACGAAATGATGCTGTTATAGGAGGAAGTTCAAGCGAAGGCCACTGTGGCCTTTTTGTTTGTTTTCTTTTGTCTCAGAGCACCGATAGAAAATTAATGCAATCTGTACCTCTTTTTAACCGAATACCTGCTACGTACTATAAGTTACGGAGCAAGTTTCTTCCAGCTCGGATTAATGGCGAGGCTCCGTAACTTAAGGTACGAACTAAGAAAATGAGATCATTAAGATATTTGGTAATTCTCAGGGTTCAAATGGAGGGGAAAGATTTAAAGTCAAACAAAGTTTTGAATTTTGTGCCACACTACCTGAGAGATATGATAAAAAAATTGAAGTCCATGGTGATATCAGTGGATTTGCGAGGCATTTGACAAGGTTTGCTAGCCACTGTAGTAAAGAAACCTTGTATCAATTTGTGAAAGTATTAAACGGTAGAAGCTACTCAACTTTTAAAATTAATCAGTCAGATACACGTTCGTGTAAAACAATTTTTTTTCAATCCAAATATTCATCGTAAATTGATTATGTGTCAGATTTTCAGTTATGTGAGTGTTGGTGACTTGGGACGTTGTGCTCGGGTGTGTAGAAACTGGAAGGTGTTAATTGAAGCCAACATTCTCTGGAGTAAGGTTGATTTCTCCATTTTGAAACACAGGTAAGAAGCTTCAAACTATTCAGGTCAGAATGAGTTACAAGTAGGCGCTGGGGAAGGGAAAATATAGGGGGGCGGGGGCGGGGGCTGTAGTTCCTCCGTCATAAGCAGAATCGAAAAAAAAAAAAAAAAACTGGAACCGTTTTGATACTTCCGACTTTGAACCCGTCACGGTTTTGGCTGTGAGTCCGACTTTTTATTTTCACGAGGTCGCGAGGGCTTTTACGACTCTGATCACAGCCCCAGCTCTGTCCACTGTGAAAACGAGCCCTGTAGCATATCTGTGCTTTTCAAACTTCTCACGAATTCCATTCGCTCTAAGGAAGGGCTAGCGCTCAAAACGTCTCTACGATTATCGCACCAAATTATAACGCATGTAGTATTTGCTAACTCAAATATTTTCTTTTTTTGTTTGATTTCAGTGCAACAAATAAAGTAGCAGCTAACGTAATCCACAAATGCCGTCCATTCCTGGGGCATTTAAATCTTCGCGGATGCTATAATTTAACCAGTGAGAGCATCAAACTCGCAGGTACAGCTGTATCTTCTTGTAGTAATTATCGAAAATTATATTTCATTTTATTTCTAACAACGCATCTGCGGTGCCGTGGAAGGTAATGGCTCTTTTGTTTTTACCGTCAGCTCAATGCAGAAATCTGCAAGATTTGAACTTATCGGAGTGTTCAGGAGTAACGGTTAGAACTAATGATTGTGATAATAATGATAATAATAACACCTTTATTTAGACCTTTATTTCGTGTGTAAATGCAATTAAACTCTAAATTAAATAAATTCAAATGATGATGGTTTTTGAGGCGAGGGGAAAACCGGAGTACCCGGAGAAAAACGCCTACCCTGCTCCCCCCTGATGACCGTTCTTATAATTTAAAACGTCATTATCATTATTTTTGTTATCATTATAAGAATCTGTCACGGTAATTCTGACACAAATTTTTTCAGAAATGTTTATCCTTTTAGAGAAAGGTTGTCACTACTTTCTGTCTGCAAATTAATCCTTTTTGGCTTTGTTTTTGGCGGGCATTTCCTCTTTACGAAGCTCTTTTGTTATTTTTGCTTTGAGTTGTAATTAGCTCCTCGTCATATATTTCTTTTTTCTGGGGCCTGTGTCTCGAAGGTCCCGGTAACTTATCGAGCCCGTAAAGCTGATCTGTTTTCATTCAAGAATGAGGTTTAAAACGTTTTTGAAAACTCTACAATAAAACTTTCAGCTAAAGAAATAAAATGGACTGGTTAGGTAGCCAGAAACTGCGTCTCTATTCTTTAATTTTGATTCTAAAATATAGCTCCGGGACATTCGAGAATCAAGCCCCCGATCAGTTACTGAGATTGCTCATTTAGTGGTTTTACGACACTTGATCAAAAAGTGCTCTATGGAGCAATTTTTCACTCCACTCCGAGTGTGAAAAGAGATTGCAGTGGTTTTTCTAAACTATACTTTATACGTTCTGTAATGGGTCGTAAAATGTCGCGCCACCCTTTAACCAGTCAAGTATAAATCTAAAACCAATCCCCTCGCGACTTAGTCACTCGCTTTTCCCGCGTTTCGGCGCGGCTACACGGATATGCTTTGAGCTCTTATTGGTTCCCTGTGACCCTTTCCTTTGTTCTGATTGGTCGTTATGAATATCACGTGATAAGTATTGCGGCAGTTAGGTGAATAGAGCGCTAATTGTGTTTCATGGTTGTAGGATGAAACAGTCAAGAATGTTGCCATGGGCTGCACAGCTTTACTGTACCTAAACTTGGCTAAAACGCCTATTTCTGATGCGTCTCTCAGATATCTCGGAAGGTCAGTTTTTCCACAAAATGTTTCCTTCTTGTATGTGAAAGGGATCCTCGCAGTAATGAACACTATTTAAGCAGCAGTGAAAATAAGGCGTAAAAAAAATTCAGTCCTGTACGGGATTTGTACCCATGACGTTTGCGATGCCGGTGCAGTGTTCTATCAACTGAACTAAGAAGCCAACTGGGAGCTGGTCATTATGTTTTAGGCAAAATTGAGCCCTTGTCACGCCCTAAGGGTGCTGTTAAGCGTTTTCAAAGTATCAGCGTTTTGTGTGCGGTAAACGGAAAAGTTTTGCTCCGTTTGCTCAGGAAACCTTGTTTTCAAGATTCTCTTGCTTATTTTGAATGGCTTTAGTTACAAGCCTGACAACGTACATAATTGTGTTGCGCGCCTCTACCTTGTGGCTGTCTAGGTACTGCACAAACATGCTTTACCTGAGCTTGGCTTTCTGCACAAAGTTTACCAATAAAGGCCTTAGTTACATGGCGAATGGGAAAGGATGTCACAAGATAGTGCACCTTGATTTGTCTGGATGTGAGCAGGTAAAGTTAGCTACGGTTAAAGACATCAATGACACACTCGGCTGCGCTTCTTCTGCCATTTCTAAGATTGTACCACATCTTGATGTCATCTTTGATCTATGAGAGAGATTTAGCACCGCGTTTACGCGAAACGTGTGTGGCAAGAGTGACCACGTGACTTTGTTTTCACCGCCATTTTTCACGTTTGACGGTTGCGCTTTGCCGTTTCTAAGTGAAAATAACCGGTTTCACTTTTGCTGCATTCGTAAGATTTTCTTCACTTTTCCTCTCTCAAAGAAGAAGCTAATTGCCGCAAAAAGGACACCAAAACTATTCTTTGCTTTTCATGCAAGGGCGCCTTCAAATCCATCATGATATGAGCTCACGCGAAGCATAGTTATTAGAGGGGACTACTAACTATGCACGAAGCTTAAGCAGCGAGGTTCACGCTATTTTACGTGAAATGCGAAAGGACAAGCTGACGTTTGCCGTTTCACATAAACGCGGTGCTGAATCTCTCTCTTTTACTGAAAAGACGCTCGGAAACACGGAATCTATTTGTTAACTATTCAGTCACGTTAGCCATGAATTTAAGCTGCACCGGCATTCATAGTTACTATTTAATTAACAATAGATGATGCCGCATATTCTTTTGGAAGTACTTCCCTAATATACAAAATGAAATTATTTTATGACTGAGAAACCAAATAAATTCGTGACAATGCTTACTATGAGCATGCATAATGCTGTATTTTTTCTGTAGTGGACTTAAGTATTAAAAGCGAAAGTGTCAACTTAGTGAAGGACAAATGACAAAAGATAGTTTAATAGTGTAAAGGAATAAGTGTAGCGTTTCCTATTTGTGCTCACCCTTGCCAAATGAACCCAGAACCTCGAAGGTTTTTGGAACCCTTCGAGGAGCTAGGTTTATATGGAAAGGGTACCAACACTGTATTACCAAGATCTAATAAGCAATTCTCCCTCCCACCTGCTTAACATTTCTTTGTTAACCAGTAGAGAGAATTTGGTATATAATAAGCACAATGACAGGGTTCGTACAGGTCTTGGAAAACCTGGAAAGTCATGGAATTTCAAAATTTCATCTTCCAGGCCTGGATAGTCATGAAATTTAGGTGTGGGTTATGGAAAGTCATGGAAAATCTATAGGCTCTCTATGAGTGAAAAGCAATAAGACCCAAAGTTGAAAAGTTAATTGACGAGTCCAAAAATCAGATTTAATTCCATTAGAAATAAACAGAAGCACGCATTGTAAGACTGTTGGCAAACATTCTTTCACACTGAATTCTTGTCATGGAATCTTTCAAAAGGTCATGGAAAAAGTCATGGAAAGTCATGGAATTTTGACAGGTCAAAAGTGTACGAACCCTGAATAATTGTAAACGATATTAAGGTAGGGGAAGTCAACTTCATGAAAAAGGTGTCAATTAAAATGTTTCGATCAAAATTTTTACCGTAGTTAACTCGCGCTTCCAGAGACTTTGCCATCAGGGACAGAAGCTAAATGCGCAGCTTAAACCACCAAATTAAAATTATAGAAGCAGCCATCGCAGATTTTCAAACACTCTGTGTGCTATAAAAATAACGTTGTTATTGCTTTTAAAGGTTGAACCTTTTAAATGATGTTTTATTGTTGTCTTGAAATGTTTGCGTCTGCGCCACTTTTTGTGTCGTACTCTGTGATTATACATCTAAGCTTTGTAACTGTGTGTTATTGATTAAAAGAAACTGGAGGTCTTGAAGGAGTATACTAGTAGCGTATAAATCTACTCTACTTTAGGCCTAGTTTATACGTCGCGCTACAGTCGAATTTAATTCAGACGAATTTAATTCAAGGTCCCACAAGTAATTAAATTCGACGGTAGCGCGACGTCTAAAACGAATTAAACTCGTCTGGTAAATTAAATTCGTCCTTGACGTTTTATCCGTCTTGGTAAGACGGATAAAATATCGATAACGCGTCTTCAGTTTTAACGTCGCACTAGCGTCGCGTCGAATGAAATGCATACATTTTCTTAATTTATTTTGGCGAGCCCGCAGCGACCCGGTGGCGAGTTTTTCGAGTGACACCTCTGACCAGTGACACTGCATTTTGGGAAGAGAATTAAATTCGATTGTATTGATTTCGACGCATAAAACCACGCCACGATTTATGTCGACGGAACGACCAATTTAATGGAATTAAATTCGTCTGAATTAAATTCGACTGTAGCGCGACGTATAAACTAGGCCTAAGCAAGGCTCGTGTTTCTTTTCACATGACGTTATGCAATGCGTGCAATCTCCTTGCCATCTATCTCATATTAGTATAATTTCACAACTGAGCAAAGAGTTTCCAGCAATCTGATTGGTCGAGCGGTTCCTTATATGTCGCTATATAAACCGCTCCACGCGGTTTATATAAAATATTAAAATAAAATGTTAATAAATGTTACTAAAATGTTATGATTTTAGAAATTTCTCTGTTGTTCAGCTCTGAAATTATACTAAAACAATTATTCGCCTCAGGTTCGGTGAATTTTGTCGAATAATCCTCTCGACTTCGCCTCGGGGATTATTCGACGACATTCACCTCGCCTTCGGCGAATAATTGTTAAATAGACAGTGATTAAGCGACAAGTCTAAGTGTGCGGTTGTAAACAAAACAAAATGAAAAGATTGACCTGTCTTGTTGCTAAGTTTTGAATCTCTACTATATTGATACTGAAACAATTATATTGTTCGTTCTCAATTTCTATCTCGTGAAAGTGGATTTGAGCATCGCTCTCGTCAACTATCGCGTGACAGAAATCTGGAATCTCACGATATGCAATACCTTGTCACATCAGGTATGCTTTATAACCAAAAACTAGGTCATACTGAACACCTGCTTTTGAGAACCCTCGTTATTAAGATAACCAAACGGCAGATGCGAAAGTGTATGTTGTAACGAACGTTGACCGAATATGCCTGCAAATCCACACAGAATTCCCTTTTTCTAATTATGTTTAGCATTATTTCAGGTAACAGAGGAAGGCTACAGATTTATTTCAAGAGGTTGTAGCACTTTAACAACGATTATTTTGAATCAGCTCCCAGGATTGAGAGATGACTGTATACAGGTATTTTAACTGAACTACATTTGTTGACCACACTAAGAGTCTTCTAATATTATTTGATAATAATTATTAACATCTAATTATTATTATTATTATAATTATTATTATTATATAATTATTATTATTATTATTATTAATTATTATTATTATTATTATAATTATTTCTAATTATTATTTGGCATTTGATCGCAATTTTAGCCCGCTAGGTGGGGTGGAAATTATTAAGAAGACAATCTTCAAATTTCAAATGCACGGGAGGGGTGCCCGGGGGATATGTTGATGCTTCATGTTGATCGACGCATCTGCTTCTCTCGAGGTTTTGTTGTAGTCACACTCTTTCGTAGTATTTCTTTTCTCAACTGGTTTCTTTTTTTTCCCTTTCTTTCGCATTTTGCAGGCATTGACATCTGAATGCCGCACATTGAAGAACGTGTCGATCTTGAACTCGCCATTACTTTCGGATGCTGCATTTAAATGCTTAGCATCTTGTAGAAGACTTAACAAGATTAGAGTCGAAGGTGAGTTCAATCTGTCAGTCTAAATCATTTTGTTTAGAGAAATTTCCAATTGAATTGCAGAGTAATCCAGAATAGCATTGATTTTGCTTTTCTTCGTTCATTGATTGGTCAAGAAAACTCGCGCCATCCTCTGAATCAATCAGATGCAAGACTGAACATCAAACGCGATTTGGTCAGTCACTTTTTCCCGTGCTTTAGTGTACCTGTTTTCCTTTGATTTTTGAATAAGTGATCACACCCGCCAATCAAAGTTAAGGGGAAAATAAGGAGCCAATAGGAACAGCAAACTGCCTGATTCGCGGGAAAACGCGGCTGACCAACTGACGTGATTGGTTTTAGTTTTGCATCTGATTGGTTGAACGGGTGGTGTGAGTTTTCTGGACCAATCACAGGGCGAAGTAAAGAAAAACCAAGCAGTGCCAGGTTTCCTTTGACTCAGAATTGGTCTTTTTTCTTATAAGGAAACAATCGTCTCACTGATGCATCACTCAAAGTGTTGGCCAGGAGCTGTCCGCTGCTCCAACACGTGTACTTTGTTGACTGCCCCAGAATGACTGATCTGGCTCTTAAGGCTTTAGCTACTTCCAAGCATCTCCTCGTGGTCAATGTCGCAGATTGCGTTCGGTAAGAAACTCCAACTGCTGTCTCCATGAAATGTTCTGTAAAAAAGTACTTTTGGAAAGGTGGAAAGATAGAAGAAGAGAGAATTTGGGTTTACTCGGTGTAAGGTTGCGAGAAACTGTGCGGTGCAAGCAAACCTTCTCAATAGGGAGTTTTTTAAGACGCATACGGCAGCCGGAAGTTAAAAGTTCTCATACCTCATAGGCTGGAAGCTGTGAATTTTCCCCGTTTTCTGTCATTAGTTTTTTCCAAAGCTCTGTTGGCCGGTTTCCTTGTTTTCTTGTTTACATCACTCTTAACTTTTGTTTGTTCTAACACCTGGGATGAGCCTTTTGTTAATTTAACGTTTATTTGTTCCCCTAGTGGAGGTTTCCTTTCGCCCTTACACTCCCACGAGTGACCAAGACAGAATTTCTCCTTACAATATGAAGGCAATATCAAGCAGACAAGTGATGAGAATAAAGAAAAATATCAATTAGGGAATTATTAGTTGATACGGTACCAAATTCTCAGAACTCACATCTTAAGAACTGTATGGCAGACAGTAATGAGAATTAATAATGAGTCAAGTCTTGTACGCTCCATTGGTGATATTCTTGGTTGCCTTGTTTGTAAAGCTCTCCAACTGGAGTTCTGTGGTTCTCAGTGTGCTGTTCATATTTCATCAGGATACAAGACACAGGAGTTCGGCAGATCGTCGAAGGCTCGTCAGGCGCTAAACTGAAAGAATTGAATCTAACAAACTGCGTGCGAGTCAGTGACGTTACATTGTTAAGAATTGCCCAACGGTGAGGGTGACAGTAGAGAATTATTCAAGATTATTTCCCAATAGTCCATTTTACAGTTGTGTGCTTGGTTGCCAAGCCTTTGAATGGGAGTGAGGCTAGGGTTGACCTTGTTATGATACAAACCTTGCTGCCTTTCAAATGTAAATCACTTTGCTATCATGCTAAGTAGATACAGGTCTCTATTGCAACAAGGTCACCTTCAGCCTCACTCTGAATCAAAGGCTTGGCAACTAAGTACACAACTGTAAAATGGCCTATTGTCAACGTTTTGTGTAACTTGTATCTATGTATTAGCAAAAAGAAATTTTTTTTTATTCTAAGTTTTGGAGGTCAGTTCTAAAAACTTTATCATCCATAGGGAGATAATTCCGTCTGTTTCTTTGAAATCATGTGAAATCTGTTTTTACGACGTTTAAATTTCAAACCCTCTGTATGTCCGTCAGTTCATCTTCACACAAGTGTTTAACTGATGCCAATTTTCCGTTGATTTTCAGATGCCACAATCTTGTGTATGCCAGTTTTTGCTACTGCGACCACGTGACAGACGCCGGGGTAGAATTACTGGGTACCCTCCCATCTCTCATGTCACTGGATTTGTCCGGGTGTAACATTCAGGACCAAGGTGTGGCCGCTCTTGGTAACAACCCGCGCTTTCGTGACATCACGCTCGCTGAATGTCCAAATATTACTGATTTGGGTCTACAGGTGCGTACAGAGAACTCCAGAGAATAGGTTAGGTAGGTAGGCAGTCAGTCAATCATTCAGTCAGTCGCCCAGTCAGTCAGTCAGTTAGTAAATCAGTCGGTCAGTCAGTCAGTTAGTAAATCAGTCGGTCAGTCAGTCAGTTAGTAAATCAGTCGGTCAGCCAGTCAGTTAGTAAATCAGTCGGTCAGCCAGTCAGTTAGTAAATCAGTCAGTCGGTCAGTCAGTCAGTCTATCAGTCGGTCAGTCAGGTAGTCAGTCAATCAGTCACCCAGTCAGTCAGTCACTCAGTCAGTCAGTCATTCACTCAGTCAGTCAGTCAGTCAGTCATTTAGTCGGTCGATCAGTCAATCAGTCAGTCTGTCAGTGAGTCAGTTAGTGAGTCAGTAAGTTAGTCAGTAGGTAAGTCAGTCACTCAGCCACCCACTCGGTCTTCCACTAAGACACTCAGTCGATCAGTGACTCACATAGGCAGTTGATTGGTCAGTCAGTCAGTTAGTCAATCAATCAGTGAGTGAGTCAGTCGTGCAGCATTTCTCTCGTTTAACGCGATAAATAACTGAACTCAAAGGATATCTGTCTTTTTCTCTTTTTACAGAAAATGTGTCAGCAGTGTAGACAATTGGAGAACTTCAATGTTTCCTGTTGCAGGGTACAGAGTACTTAGAACACACTTTTAAACAACTATGACTTCAGAATAAGACTGGTAGCCACTCTTGCTGACTAATTTACTGTGGACACCGTGATTGACATATGTTTCTCTTCCTTTAGGGTTTAACTGATAACGCCATTAAAAACCTCGCCTTCTGTTGTCGATTACTTCGCACGCTGAACCTCGCCGGCTGTAACAAGGTAGGAGAGTAAGACGTTTTATTATAGAGAGATTTAGCACCGCGTTTACGTGAATCGTGAACGGCAAGAGTGATCATTATCCTGATCTAACACCAAATTCTCGTAAATAATTCATAAGGAAATGTGTAGCAGCCATAGGGAGGGAGAATTAACAATTAGGAGAGAATGCGAAACCGAGGATTACCTTAATGTTACTAAAGTAAACTATGGGCTAATCTTGGCTTCTAGTTTGAAATTCTTTAGTTCAGTCTTACATTTGAATAGGTAATCCTTGTAGTTTAAATTACCTACACTGGTTGTTTTGAGATATATATTCTTGACGGCAGTGACAGATCATAGTTCGATGTATCTGAATATCGATAGTAGTACTCCAAACCTCCAAGAGAGCGTAGTATCTAAAGTAAACTATGAAAAAGCTGAATTTTTTTAATACAAGCAAAGTGTTTGAATTGTCTTTTGTTTTTTTACGAAGTTGACAGATTCAAGCCTTCAGTATTTATC